TTTAGTTCAAAATTAGTTTTGCATGGCTTTAAAAATAGAGGTCGAAAGTGTCTTGACACTCGATAAGGAACATTAAAATTTACCTCAGCCAGGAGGCCCGGGCCTGTCATTAATTTTACGATAAATACCTAGCATTTCTCTACGACTTGCGAGTGTAGGCAAATTTACGAGCTTTAGACGACTTATGTAAGGGGGGAGATTGTAATCTGAATCCCAGTTAAAATTACGTAATGCAAAAAGTTAGAATTGTTTTTGAATTGATTCAATCCTTTCAGAATGAACTTGGTAGCGATTCCGAACAATAGATCCGTATTCTAGTATAGGTCTAACTAAACTCGTAAAAAGAGCTTTTGTAACATAAGGATCTTTGAACTCTTTTGGCCATCGCCTTACAAATGCAAAAACGCCTTTGGCTTTATTGACTGTAACATTAATATGATGGTTGAAATTGAGTTTGGAATCCATTGTGATACCAAGATCGACAAAATTGGATACCTGCTCCAGATTATAATTTGATATTGAATAAACAGCCGGTTGAACAGCCCTCCGAGAGAAACACATAACTTTAAATTTTTGAAGGTTTAGTGGCATATAGTTTGCATTACACCAACTAACCCCTTTGTTCAGATCCGCTTGTAACAAAGACCTTTCTTCGATGGAGGACAATGTTTTAAAAAGTTTCACATCATCGGCATACATTAAAATTTTTTAATGTTTTATTATAGAAGAAATATCATTATCATCAGAATATCAGGAACAGAATCGGACCAAGGTGGCTTCCCTGAGGAACTCCTGAAGAAACTTTAATGATGTTGGAAGAACAATTATTAACAATAACTCTTTGTGTTCTATCAGAGAGGTAAGATGAGATCGATTGAAGAAGACTGGATGAGTAACGAATGACATACTTTGTCAAAAGCTTTACTGAAATCGGTGTATATTACGTCGGTATAAGCATTTTCTCTAAAACCGTTTGAGACATGAGTTGTAAACTCCAATAAATTAGTCATAGTAGATTGTCCTTTAGAAAACCCGTGTTGAGATTGTGTAATTGAAGAAGATATAGAATATGTCAGCTGGTTAACAATAATTGCTTCGAATAATTTGGGGATAGCGGAGAGTTTCGCTATGCCTCGATAGTTTTCTATAGAGGACCTGCTGTCGTTTTTGTGAAGTGGTATTATGAAAGACTCCTTCCAGGCTGACGGAAAAACGCCATGTTTAAGTGACAAATTGAATAGAGTTGTTAAAGGCTCGCAGATGTTCTCAGCGCAGGTTTTAAGAAAACAGGTCGGAATATGATCAGGTCCAGGCTAAATTACGCTTTTAAGGTGTTTAAATAGTGTAAAACTTCATCGGAAGATATTACGTACGGATAGTCTCCACTTAAGGAACTGAGCAAACATGTTGGCAATGAGTTGGCTGTCGCTAGATACAGTGTTGCGATAATACACAGCGGACGGAAAACCATGTACCTCACGCTTTGAATTTACGAAACCATAAAATGATTTGTGATTGTCTATTAAATTCTTCTTAATTTTACATAAATATGAATTATAACATTTCTTATTTAATGCAAAGTAGCTATGCCGCAAAACTGAGTACCTTAGGTAATCACTCTGTAAGCCCGTTCTCTTATACAATTTAAAAGAGTGCGACTTTTTATTTTCCACTTTTGTAAGCTCTTTAGTGAACCATAATTGTATTGGTTCTTCATGAACAATATTACTTTTTGGCACATACTTTCGAAACAAATTGAAAACAGTACCATTAAAGTGCTCAACGCTACGCTCCACGTCATCTCTATATATTGGCCAAGATAACTTTGAAAGTTCTTTGTTAATTTTCCTGAAATTTGCTTTCGCAAAAACATATCTAGTACTTGAACTTGACTTATTATTAGGTATTTCATTTATGATCTCGTAGCTTAACTCAAGAGCAGGATGGTATGCATCTTCCGGCAAAACTAGAGGATCAGACCGATTAATAGAGGCCTTCGGAACATCATCAACGTAAACGAGATCCAAGACCTTTCCAAACTTATTATACCCGAGCGCACTTGTGCACAAGGGTATTATAACTTTGTTCACAAAACGGTTGTTTGTAACAGGCAAAACAAATCGAGATAGATATAGACAAATGTATACATAAATGATCAGGATGAAAAGAGACATCGATTAAGCGGTGACTGTCTGTCCGTCCGTCCGTCCGTCTGTGCACACGATAACTTGAGTAAAAATTGAGATATCTTAACGAAACTTGGTACGTGGACTTCTTTTGCGCTTAGGACGGATGGTATTGAAAATGGGCGAAATCGGACAATAACCACGCCTACCTCCCATATAACGGTAATTTTCAGAAATACGAAAACTGCGATATTTTGGTAACTACTGAGGATAATTCACTCAAAATTCATATTTACAATGATTTTTAGACGAAAAATAAGAATATTGGAAATTTTTGGAAAATGGGTGTAGCCACGCCCACTTATGGTTTCATGTGTATAACTTGGTAACCGCTGCACCTATTTCTTCCAAACTTGGCACAGTTGTTGGTCCTGGTACAGCATACCAAATGGCCGAAAATTTTTAAAATCGGACAGTAACCACGCCCACATCCCATATAACGGTAATTTAGAAAAATGCGAAATCCTCGATAAATCAGTAAATATTAAAGCTAATTTTTTCAAAATTGATGGCTGCAACAATTCTTAACAAAGAAATACGCTTATGGTAAAATTTTGGAAGATGGGCGTGGCACCGCCCACTTATGATGTACCAATTTGTACCAAACTCAGTACGGTTATTGTGCTTGCCACATAAAAGCATACCGCTGAAAATTGTTGAAATCGGACTAAAATTACGACCGCTTTTCATATAACGGTAAATTTCAGAAATGCTTGAAATTTCAATATTTTGAAATTTAAGGACGCTAATTTACTTAAAATTTATACACCCCGGCTTATCATGTAGCGGTAGCTTTTGGAAAGGTGGAAAACATATATTTAATACTTGCGCCGGGTATTTAATGTTCGGCTCCGCCCGAACTTAGACTTTCTTACTTGTTTGGACATATATTTATTTGTTTGAGGTAAAGTTCAGCCATTTCCTCCAGAAATACATTGTAACTATCTCTAGATGAAACTGGTACAACATCGGTGTCAATGATGTTCCATGAAATGTGTGGCAGATTTAAATCGCCCAAAACAATCATAAAATCGGATGCCGTAAGCATTGCATTTACGGTCTCAAGTAAAGAAACTAGCTGCATATATACTGATACGGCTGAATTAGGAGGTACATATGTAGCAAAGAGCTAAATAAATATAAGTCTTTCCAGCCTGTACACGTATACATTTAAATTCGGTATATTCAATGACAGGGAGACTAACTTCCTCTGATAGTATCGATGAATGCACCGCAAAAAGAACACCACCGCCGATTCTGCCCACGCGGTCACTCCTGTATATTTGATAGTCATTTGGAAGAATTTCGGAATTAAAAATATGAAGTTTGAGCCATGTTTCGGTCGAAGAAATAATATTATAATTGCAGTCAAAACCTTTTCAATATAAGTCAGTTAATGTGGTATCCAGACCTCTAACGTTTTGATAGTTAATACTTAAATAAGACTTGCGAGTTAGTTTTTTGAATCCGAATTAAGATTAGAAATTTTAGCTACGATATTATTACTTTTATTAGGTTTATACTCAAACTCGCGAACAAACGCCCCGGTCGGCCAAAATGAACTATTTAGTAGTGAATCAAAATCTCCGGAAGCTACATCAATTTTAAAAGATGAAATATCGCGATCGTATTTAAAATTAAATTTACGAATAAATACATCTTTAGTTCTAATTTTAGTCGATACGTATGACTTCATATCATCCGAAGAAGTATCTTTAGCAAATCTAGAGACAAAGATTGATCTTCTCGGAGGAATTACAACCAACTTTTTAGTAATGATGTCTGATGTGCGGGGCTCCGAATTATTCGGAACTAAGCTAGACAGTGCAGCTTGAGATGTTGATGGCAACACTGTCAAATCAACGGTTTGACTCTTTTTAGAAGTAGACCTAGTGGATATGGCATTAGATATCGGAGGCTCCAATGCCTGAGGGCATGGAGAAGATAGATTAATAAGTTCCAAGGACTGGGATGGAGGATTTTTTTACTAGAATCCGTGTCTGTCTTTTTAGATGGACTAATAACACGCCCACCTTTATTTTCTCGGCTATCCTCATAGTGTGGAGGGTTGTCGAGACAAGTGAAAGACCTAAACATTCAAATTATTGTTTTTCTGCACCTTATTGACCGCAAATGTCGAAAAATTAAAACGCTAATTTATTTCGTCAAATTAGTATTTTATTTAGTTATGTATGCATTTCGGTTGACAGCTGATCAACCATCATCAGCGCGCGACTACTGAGCACTAATCAAAATAGACAAATAGACAAACAGGTACAAAAGTTGTGAACATACATACAAACATAAATACATACATATGTATACATCGAAAAATAACTTTTATACAGAGAAACACATTAAAAAATATAAACAAAGGGAACAAGTGGAATTGGCATAAACAAAGGAATTATTTTACTTTCTTACACAGCTAAATAGTGGAGAATTAATTGCGCCAGGTTCTAGGTTCATTAAATTATTGTTGATGGAAATAAAAAGCGATTCATAAGCATCCAATTTTGCTGGATTCCTAACGTTTTTTAATAAACGAACATTTTGTTCCATCGATATCGAATTGTGTGGGCGAGTGTTGTTGAGGTCGAATGCATGTGCGACGATAGCGTTGTCTATCTTTTTTAATCTTACTGCGCGTAGATGTTCTTCTATTCGTGCACGTAGCGACCTCCTTGTCTGCCCAAAGTCGCTACGGACTCTATTTGCCAGGCCTTTGGTGTGAACAAATACCATTTAATTGTTTCAAATCCCTCCGTTCCTTTGATGTATGGACTCCCAAAAGTTCATAAAAATGGAAGCAAAATGCGGAAAATCGTGTCGAACATAAATTCACCCCTTTCAAACATTTCCCGCTTGTTAGTGAAGGATTTAAAGAAATTCGGTTCCTTCGATGGTTACTCTGTAAAAAATTCATTGGATTTTATAGAAAAAGTGCGTGACATTGAAATTGAAAAAGATGAAATAATGATTTCCTTTGATGTTGAAGCCCTTTTTTCGTCGATTCCTGTCGATACGGCCATTGAAGCAATTCAAAACCACTTAAATAAATTCAGTTTACCTGAAGACAAGTTCAATGCATACATAAATGCGATTAAAATCTGTATGAAGCACAATTTCTTTCAATTTCGCGGCGTTTACTACAACAACAACTTCGGCTGTAGCATGGGTAACAGTCTATCACCATATGTAGCAGAAGCTTTTATGTGCGATTTCGAATCGCAACTCAAAAGTGAAGGTGTTTTGCCACGAATTTGGCTTAGATATGTAGACGATACTTTCGCCATAGTGAAAATATCCGACATAGAAAAAATACTCGGAACACTCAACAGCCGCTATCCGAGTATCAAATTCACTTTTGAAAAGGAAGACGAGAAAACAAGTTCTCTACCTTTTCTTGATATTCTTATTAAGCGACAAGGAAAGAAAATTGAATTTGGCGTTTATCGGAAGTCAACATCGACCGACCGATACATTACACACGACTCCTATTGCACATATCAGCAAAAATTGTCATCATTTAATTCAATGGTTTACTGCCTCTGCTCCTTGCCATTGTCTGCACAAGACTATATGGAAGAATATAAACAAATAAAACACATAGCAGACATAAATGGCTTCAAGAGATCACTTACCGATCAGCTGATAAGTAAACAATCTAATCGAATAAGACGGAACAAGGAGAGCACGCTTTTCTTACAAAATCGCACCGCAAGGTCGTCTCAACCACAGCGTGTTTCATTACCCTATTTTCCCGCCATCACAAATACATTGAAGCACGCCTTCCAAAAATGCAATTTGCAAGTAGTTTACACCAACAATAACATACTGAGAAATGCGCTTGGTTCCACCAAAGACAAATTGCCGACGGAAGAACAGAGCGGAGTTTACGAAGTAACCTGTTCGCATTGCAACTGCAAATATATTGGGCAGACAAGGAGGTCGCTACGTGCACGAAGATTAAAAAAGATAGACAACGCTATCGCCGCACATGCATTCGACCTCAACAACACTCGCCCACACAATTCGATATCGATGGAAGAAAATGTTCGTTTATTAAAAAACGTTAGGAATCCAGCAAAATTGGATGCTTATGAATCGCTTTTTATTTCCATCAACAATAATTTAATGAACCTAGAACCTGGCGCAATTAATTCTCCACTATTTAGCTGTGTAAGAAAGTAAAATAATTCCTTTGTTTATGCCAATTCCACTTGTTCCCTTCGTTTATATTTTTTAATGTGTTTCTCTGTATAAAAGTTATTTTTCGATGTATACATATGTATGTATTTATGTTTGTATGTATGTTCACAACTTTTGTACCTGTTTGTCTATTTGTCTATTTTGATTAGTGCTCAGTAGTCGCGCGCTGATGATGGTTGATCAGCTGTCAACCGAAATGCATACATAACTAAATAAAATACTAATTTGACGAAATAAATTAGCGTTTAATTTTTCGACATTTGCGGTCAATAAGGTGCAGAAAAACAATAATTTGAAGAACTGACCACAAGCTGACTTAAATTTTGTGATTAAATTTACAAAAGAATATTTGACCTAAACATTATTTCGTAATGCTTAAATTTCTCAACAAGCACCGACAAATCCTTTCCGATCTCAGAAAAGCCATTTCTGGACTGCCTAAAGAATTTAAATAAATCAACTTCGGTTGATCTACATTTTTGACAAGATCAACGAAGACCCGTACCCATAGTTACCAACTTGGTACTTTAAGCACTAGATTTAGTGCTTTTTGAAAACCAAAATGCCAAAAAAAATTATTTAGTGCCTAGTCCCTTTTTTAGTGCTTTTTTCTGAACTAAAATTACTCCGATATAGTTAAAACCTGAAATAATTTTTAAATATATAAAGCTGTGGCAGCACTGAATTTACAAAAATCTACAAATTTAAATGCATTTAAATACAACCATGATTGATAAAAAACTGAACTTGCAAATTCACCTTGTTCAATTATATTCGCGTTGAAAATGCTAGTACATATGCGAGTAAGTTAAGTATCTATTTCTTTTTTTCTTTTCTAATTATTTGTAAAAATTTTTATTTTTGTACCACCTGAGTAAAACACATCGCTTCTTGGTGCTGAATCCAAATCTGGCCGCACAATTACTCTAGCACTAGAATTTTGAGATATCCTAACCTCAAAGTGCCAAATCACGGTTTTTGGCGGTATTTGAGGTTATATAATGAAAACATAATTTTTTTTTGCCCATTTCTGCTTAGGGCATGATTTTCGTTTGTTGGGATTCGATTTTTCTTTTTTGAGATATATCAGTGTTAATGTGCAGTACTTCGTTATTGCGACGTAAGCATGAGTTATTATAGCATGTGGCTTTCAATCGTCATGAGCGAAAAAGTTTTGTTTATTAATTTATGTATGCATTCTTGTAAATATTGTTAATTTTTCGTTTTTGTTAAATACATATAAACTGTTATGAAAAAAGCATCCATTGATTCAAAACCATTTGGTGCTTTTAATGTGGTAAAACGCTTTTTTACAAGTTTTTGGTGCTTTTTGAAAATCAAAAGTTGGCAACACTGGCCTTACCCTCGTTAATAGCGTCTAGTACTCTACCGCTCAAACCAGCATATTTTATATGGGAAATCCCATCGCAGATCCAGCATGACACATAGGAGTCGCTTTTAACGTGGCAATTGGTGTAAATACACGACATGTTTAAAAATATATTTATTTTTAGGTTTTAGAAGCAAAAAAGCAAAACAGGGTTGAAAGCAATGTATTAATCAGTGAACCAATCAGCTGGTAAATATCAGTTGGAAAGCTATGTAGCGAACAGTTTTAAATGCACTGTATATTTGACACCTAATAAACACAACGCAAATAGCTGTGACAAAGATGAAACAGCAGAAATGACAAAAAGAGCAAAATCAAAGTGCACAAACATAAACAATTGTACAACAACAATATATTATATGAAACAAAATACTCGGCACATGCAATTAAAAATATCAAGTTAAATTAATCAAATTTACAGGAAATTTTGATGTTTTACTTATCTTTAAA